TGAAAAATATGCTGAATTCATGCGCTGAATAACAACACTGTTAAGGCTACAATTTTCCACAAATTGATTTTTTTGCCCCTCAACTGGATAGGCCGGTTCTAAAATTTACATTGGAAAGCAGAGGACCTCACAACCTAGACAGTCTTGGACAGAGGGAGCATAAGGCTGAAGAGACTGAGCCTCCTTCATCTGAAGATTTACTTTAAAGCTTCAGTAATTAGACAAGGTAGTGTTCATTAGGATAAGCATGTTGGTCAATGAGGCACAATAGAATCCAGAAATACACTTATTTCTGGCCAACTGATTTTAGGTGCCTCAAGTGCATAGAAAAGGAAGTCTGCAAAAAAACCCAGAATTAAATATTCATGTTCTAAAAATTAATATTGAGGGGCTAGAGAGATGGCTCAACAGTTAAGAGCACTTGCTGTTCTTGTAGAGGACCCATGTTCAGTTCCCAGCATCTATAGGGCAGCTCACAACCACCTGTAACTCCAGTTCCAGAAGTTCTGACACCCTCTTCTGGCCTCCATGGGCATTGCATACATATGCTGCACATACAAAGAATGTAGGCAAAACACTCATACACATAAGATTTTTATTTTTATTTTTTGATTTGTTTATTTTTATTTTATGTTGCTAGCCACCATGTGAGTGCTAGGAACCAAACCCACATCTTCTGCAAGAACAGTCAGTGCTCTTACCCACCAAAATTTAAAAAAAAATTAATATTGACTCCTATCTCACACCACAGAAGGAAATTAATTTATGAGCTGGGCATGGTAGCGACTAGCACTCAGGAGGCAGAGGCAGGCACATCTCCGTGAGAGTGAGGTCAGCCTGGTCTACATATCAAGCTCCAAGCCAGCTGGGGCTATAGGCAGACCCTGTCTCAAAACAAAACAAAAAAAAGAAAGAAATTAATTCATCAAAGGCCAGAGATGTAAAGGTAAAAGATAAAACTCTCAACTCTCTAGAATCAAATCAGGAGAAAATGAGGGCATAGATAACTTCTGGAGAACATTCCTCCACAGAGATGCTGAAATACCCAGAATGCCTCACTCTCATTGCTACTTCCATTAATAGCAGTATTAATAGCAGTGCAAAAGTGACAGGATAGACAGGCCATAGTCCAGGTGCCCTGTGTGTGTGGACCAGATAGTATCTGCAGACCCTTGGTGTGCCCCTGTGCATGAGTCTTTCCATTCAGATTGCAAGAAGCTTGACAATGGGTCAAATTCTCTGGAGACTGAAGGAACATTTACCTTTAAATGTCGCACCATCTCTTTTCTTAAGCTTAGACAGATCTTTCTAGGGGAAAAAACATCTTTTGTGGTGAAAAAAAATGTGAAGTTCAAGAATTTCTCCCATTTTTACTTCAGATTTATTTTCTTCAATTAGAGTCAAGTAAAATTAAATCCACTAAAAAAAAGACATATGGTATGATCCCATTTTTATGAAAGTATTTCTATCTCTTCTATCTGTAAAAAATGCATAGGAACATGTCTAGCATGCTGTACCAGAAATGTTAATGACGGTTATATTTGAATCATGAAACTTGAGGTAATACTTTGATTTTCTTTCTGCAGTGCTTAAACTGTTTATAAGGCACATATACTGTTTTCACAGAAAAAAAAAATTTTCTCAAAAAAAATAATTCTGACATCTTGGTAAGAGCCCTTGGGGATTCAGGCTTTTGTTTCTTTTTTCTTCCTTGTCCCCTGTTCCAAGCTCTTCCCTCCCTTCTCATCCCTTATTTCTCCTTGCCCTGCTCTCCCCAGAGCTAGCCTCTCTCCCCAGGCTGAGAACATCCCATCTCTTAGTGCTTAACCCCTTAATAGCCCATGGTAGTGTGCTTTCTATTCCTTTTGCGGTGTGACTTGAGGGTAGGGATATTTTCAGAGGATTTTGAAGCCCTCAGCAAAACCTTTTCCTTCTTTCCCATGAGCCTCAGACTAGCAGAGGCAAGATAGGTTTAGTGGAATGGGACAGCCTGGGAAAGGAGCAGGTCTGAGCAATGTTCCCTGAGAGATGCTGAGGGATAGAAGAGCTTGGACTTTATTCCTGGCTCCATATCATTCTTTTCATCTCCAGTGTATAGTACACGGATAGAGATGCTGTCTCAAGGGTCTGCTCTGGACAGGGCTCAATATGAGGAAGCATCTCTCATCAGAGCTGCCTTTATGACATGGCCATTCCCCTACTGTGCCATGCTAGGACTGGGGAACCAGAGATGCTTGAGCTACTCTTCCCCAAGCTCCTGGAACTCAGGATTGAATAAGATAGACCCACAAAAGCAGGATGAGGGCTTCCCTGTGGTTTTCACAGGACCAACATAACAGACAGATGACAGGATGGAAGTAGGGCTGGGAGAATCTTTGAGCAAAACCACCAGGGAAGCATTCACACCATTGTGTAAACTCTGACTCCTCAAGCAAAGCAGTTGGGAGGTACAGTTGGATGATCAATTCACTATGATGGATGAGCATCTCCAGGGGAAAATCCCAGGTGTTTGGCAGCTCTAGTCCTCAGATCCCAGAATGAACAGGCTGCTTTAGGATTCTATGTTTAGCATAAGCAAACTCAACCGGGACTCTATGTCTCTATAAACTTTCCTAGAAGAGGTGTCAGGACTTTGTGAGATGTGGGATGTGGCATTAGAGAAGCGAACAGCAGAGACATAAGCCCAGGCTACACACACCTGCGAGGGAGACTTGGGACGGAAGAAGCCGGCACCACCTTGTCTTCATAATCTCTGGTAAGAATTGAGTGTTGACAGCCAGGTGTGGTAGCACACGCCTTTAATCCCAGCATTTGGGAGGCAGAAGCTGGCTGATCTCTGTGAATTTGAGGCCAGCCTGGTCAACATAGTAAGTTCCAGGCCAGCTAGGGCAACAGGAAGACCTGTCTCAAAAAGACAAAAACCTGTGTTCAATCCATAGCATCCATATAAAAAACCAGGTGTGGTGGCAAGTGCTTGTAATCCCAGTGCCCACAGGGAGGTGAAGATAGGCAGATCCCTGGGCCTTACCTAATCAGTGGTTTTTAGGCCATGGGAGAGATCTTGTCTCAAAAAACCAAGGTGGACATCTCCTGACCACTAACACCCAAAGTGACCTCTGGCCTCCGCTACACACACTACACACACATGCACGCAAAGATTCGCTGCCACAACACTACAGAGCAGGGAAAGGTATAGCCATGTACTGTAACCATGGATCCTGCACCCACAAGGGCAAGGGAAGGAAGAGGGCAGGAGAAGAAGGGTGTAGTGGGCAAATGTGAGGCACTTCAGGAATTCTCCACCCATTTCTTGTGTTTCTTTCTACACCCCTAGACCTCTGGCTCTTCTTCCCCTCAGAGGGTAGCAGAGGTAGGAGATTCTCCACCAAGTACCCTTTGTACTTTTTCAGCTGTGTGTCCACAACTAATATGCATTCGTATTACTATACTATTCCTCTTGGCTTCTCCAGGGGATCAGACTGAGATGCAGCCACTCCCTGGGTGGAGGGTGGCAGGCAGATCCAGAAAAGAAAAACACTGGAAACAGACCAGTCCTCCGGGCACCCCCTGGGAACAAGTCCGGGTTCAGTAGGGTCACTGAGCTAGAATGTCTATGCCAGCTACTCCAATAATCTTGGCTAAATTGACTGATGAAAATACAAGATATCTAAGTTAAATTAGAAAAAAATATTATTTTGTCAAATAAAAAAACTTTTAGTGTAAGTATTTTCCAAATATTGTGTGGGACATGTATCTATGCTAAAAAAAGAAAGTATTCACTATTATGACCTCCATAATTTGTAGTCGAGCAGCCTACATTTTAGTTTTTCATCCCTTCATCCCACATGTTGGCAGAGAAATCATTCCTTCAATTTTCTTTTCTCATTTCTCTGTTTCCATTTTTTAAATTGTTAACCCAAATTTCCACAGCCACACCAGCCCACTGATGCAAATTAGTTCACTTGAAAATAAATGTCTCTGTCTTCTAACACAGGATTTTGTTCCTGTAAGCTTTCACAGCTCTGCTGGAACCTGCCATATTCTTCTGGTTCATTACTCACTCCCCTAGGCCACAGGAGGGCAGCCATAGCCTGCCCTGGGAGCAGAAGCTGAGGCTGGCCCTTGGCGCCCCCTACTGGTGATCCCCAGATGGCAAACAGGAGATGCCTAAGGGGTGCAGGGCTATGCCCCCAGCCCTTGAGGCCAGAAGCCCCCTCAGAGACTGGAGGAAGGATATTTTCCTCACTTCTTGCCGACCCATCAGCAGATGGCTTCTCCAGCCTCCCAGCGTTTGTACTGTCTTGCTTCACCCCTTCCTCATGAGCCTCTTCTGGCTTTGTATGGACCCTGTGAACAGGTAACATTTGGTCCCTGGTCTCAGCTCCATCTGCACTGCTGCTCAGTCTGGCTCATCCAATTTCCAATCAGTTAGTCATGGAAAGCCCACTGTTCCCTGAGGTCCCAGTCACTGTCCTTCCCACGCCATCCCTGGCTCCCCAGGGAAACCTGTCTCCTAGAGGATCAAATGATCCCTGTCATTTGAGGCCTCTAGTTCTCACCCCAGGAGGATGTTGGCCAGTCTTCAATGGCTCCTTCAAGGGCAGACCATTAATTCATTTTCAGCTCTCTACTGGGCAGGACTAGGTCTGCCTTGGTGGCTATCAGGCCCTCCTGCACAGTCTGTGGGTACAGACTAAAGCCAACAAAAATTAGCAGAATGAAGGTTGGAAGACTGAGGAAGGTGTCCCTGAGGCAAAGACAAAGAGTGATTTTAAAAAATAATAACATTGGCTGGAGATGTAGCTCAACTGGTAGTTTGCCTTGCATACATGAAGCCCTATGTTAGATACCCAGCATAAAAACTAGGCACAATACTACATGCCTATAATCCCAGCCTTTGGGAAGTAGATGCGGGCAGATCAGAAGCTCAAGGTCATCCTCAGTTACATACCAAGTTCAAGGCCAACCTAGTATACATGAGACTCTCTTTCCAAAAAAAGTTTAAATAAAGCTTTATTTACAGATAATACAAAATAAACAACAGGACAAACTACTGTGAAAGGGGGAGGGAAGGAATGGTCCCCACAATAACCACCCTCTCCATCCCAGAGTAACATATAAAAAATTAAAAAGGCCTGGGGAGGGACTGGACTGGAAGCACCTTTGCTGATTCAGATTTGGGCCTGTAGACCTCAGCCATCTTGTTCCAGGGCACAGTATACACTGGCTCTCTCTCCTCAGAGTCCCAGGCCTGGCAAACAGGGGACACTGCTGCAGGGGCAGTGGGGATGATTGCAGAGGCTCCCCAGCTAAGGACCCTGACTTCTGACCTGAAAGTGGGATTAGTAGATGAGTAAGTGACTTTGGGGACAGGTATAGGGTGGGCATTATTGCAGTGCTCCAGCCAACTTCCTTCTGGCCATGGAAGTGGGTCTACAATGGGTTCCGGGAGCAGCCATGTCAGGGCAAGAGTGTGGGGTCTTCAAAGTGACGATGTTGTTGAGTCTACAACCTCACGGCCGTTGCAAACAGTGGGAACAAATTGGGATCCAGACCCTAGGGAAAGGTAACAAGAGGTTAGGACTGACTTCAAGGTCTTCCATAGAGGACAGACAGTGAAGGAATTATGGCTTTAAAGGGGAACATCTGCCCACGCCTTTCTTGTGTCCAGTGTCATCTTGATGGTACCCTACTTCCAGATAAGGAATCTCAGCAATCTGGGGAGTTGATCCCATTCCTGGGGAGCCTGGCAGAGGGGAACTCAGGTGGGGAGATGCTAACCTTGACCAAGGTTGGCACTGGCCCTAGGGGGAGCACTGCCAAAGCGGCTGGTAGGTGCCCGGTGAGTCACCACGTTCTTCTGCGGCTGGAAAAGGATGATGTGCAGCTTAGGTGCAAAGAGGCAGCCGAGTACCACAGAACCACTGAGGCTGACAGACACACACATGGTAGTGGTCTGTACCTGTAAGGGATGAGGTATGAGCAGGCACAGGTTAACAATGATATCCCAAATTCCTGGGCCTAGCCCCAGGACTCCCTGCCCAGGCTGAGGCAGGGGGAGTGGGGAAGATGGCATCCACTCCTTGGTCCTTTGGCCAAGCCCCAAAGAAGGGTGCGCCCAATCCCAGTGTCAGCCCCAGTTAACCATTTTTTGAGGGACACCAGAGTTGCAGCTGTGTTGTATAAGGGTGTGTATATATGCAAGGGTATGTACATGCAGGGGTTTGCAGGTATGGTGTTTGTTCACATACGTGCATGTATAGTTGTGTGAGTGTATGTATGTATGTGTATGTAAGTGTGCAGAGTATGTGCAAGTGTTTAGGGATGGGGTGGATGAATGGGTATGGATGTGTGTGGGTAGGCAAGAAGATGTGTGTGTGTGTGAGTGTGTGTGTGTGTGTGTGTTCTAGGTGTTCCATGAAGTGTTCACACACTTGTGGATGCATGAGGGAATATGTGTATGCATCTTCATGCATGCAGATATGTGTGTTTGTGCACAGTGTATACATGCATTGTTGACTACTGTGTGTCTCTGGTGAGTCCTTAGCTGCCTATGATTGTCATGAAAATGCAAATCACATGCAAATATAGACTGAGTCAGAGTAGATTCCCTCCCTAGCCCTGGCCTTCACTACCCAAGCAGGTAGCCCAGCCGGTGCAAGCAAAGCCACCAAGCCCAGCAGTCTCCAGCCCCCAGCAATGCATTACCACACCTCTGTCCAGAGAAAAGGACTCATGCCAGGGCTTTTGCCATAATTTTCTTGTTTCTTTCATTGTTGAGACTGTTTTCACCCTGCTTTGCACTGTGAAGCTGAGTAAGCTTGGGTGAGGGACTGACTCTCCCCAAGTTTCTGCTTCTACATCAGTAAAAAATGAGGGCTATGAAGCTTATTCCAGAGCTGTGAGGATTAAACAAGATGATCAATCCTCTTAACATTCTAAAAGGACTCATGCCAGGGCTTTTGCCATAATTTTCTTGTTTCTTTCATTGTTGAGACTGTTTTCACCCTGCTTTGCACTGTGAAGCTGAGTAAGCTTGGTGAGGGACTGACTCTCCCCAAGTTTCTGCTTCTACATCAGTAAAAAATGAGGGCTATGAAGCTTATTCCAGAGCTGTGAGGATTAAACAAGATGATCAATCCTCTTAACATTCTAAGCTCAGCTCACCTGTCACCTCCTTGGAGAGGCCTTCCTTGACCATCTCACTGGAAGTAGCTGTTGCCTGTTGGAGCTGTGGACACCCCTTAAGACACTCTGTGCCAGTTGGAAGCATCTGCTTGGAAGCCACCAACTGGAGTATAGTGATCACATAATTGAATCTTTCTCAGCCTTCAGCCAGCATCTCTTCCCTCTCCCTTTGTCTTCATTCATTGACCACCCCTCTCCAGGTGACCCTTCAGTGAAGCAAGGCAGAGGCTGCATTCTACATACTTCTGCACCCCAAACTTGTCCCAGGTTAGAGAATGACATAAAACTCTCTCTCTCTCTCTCTCTCTCTCTCTCTCTCTCTCTCTCTCTCTCTCTCCCCCTCCTCCCTAGACATTTCTTCAAGCATTATTCATGCCTTAAACCTTTCCTTGGGGTCCATTTAACTTTAGAATTGTCAGTAAATAAAATGAAATAACAAGAAACAGAGGTCCAGTGTCCCACCCCATCCTGCCTCTGCAACAGATGGCTCACCCGATAATCACTGGAAGTGACATAGAAGATGGGTAGGAATGCCAGCCAGATGATGCAGGTGGTGTACATGGTGAAACCAATGAACTTGGCTTCATTGAAGTTCTCAGGACACTTGCGGGTCTTGAAGGCATAAAGCGTGCAGAGCGCGATGAGGAGCACGTTGTAGGCCAGTGAGCCAAGCATGCTTGCATCACGATGGTTGCAGCGCAATGTCACCACTTCCCGCCGTTCAGGGGCTGTCTCCTTGCCTGTGCCTGGTGCCTCCACCACCAGCCAGGCAGCAACAATGAGCAGCTGACCTGAAATAAGTGCCAGGCAGATGGCCACCTGTGAGGCAGGACTGATGAAGCGTGGCCGCTGGGCACCTTCCCGGGCCCCGCCGAAGATACGTGCAATGCGGTTGGTCTTGGTAAGGAGGGCTGAGTAGCAGACAGAGAAGGCAGTGCCCAAACCAAGGCGCCGTAAGGTGCACACTGTGGTGGATGGCTTGGCGATGAAGATGAAGGTCATGCAGTAGCAGAGGAAGACACCTCCCAGCAGAATGTAGCAGAGCTCCCGACCAGAGGCTTTGACCACAGGTGTGGCGTTGTGCCTCACGAAGACACCCAACACAAAGAGGGTGGCCAGGGCACCCAGGCAGGCAATGGTGACAGGTCCTACTGCCCAGGCATCACCCCAGTGGATGTACTCCTGGGGCAGCTCAAAGCAGCCAGTCAGACTGGCATTAGGCCAGTAACCCAGACCACAGTCGGCACAGGTGAACTCGTCCAGCCGGTACTCATAGGGCTGGCAGGGGATACACAGCCAGCAGCACACCTCACCTGGCTGTACGCTCTTCACCTCATTCTGAAGGCAAGGCTCACTACAGCGAGAGGCAGGAAGGGGGCCTGCTGATGGGGAGGCCCATGGGATGAGGCTGGTGTCCAGGGTCAGGCCTTCGGCCCAGTAGCCCACCTTCTGGTAGCGATAGCGCCCACTGCCTGCCCGCAAGTAGGTGAAGATGTTGTAGCGGCCAATACCATCACCAAAGCGGTCAAAGCGGACCTCGTTATGAGTGTCAGCTGGGCGGAAGGGGGCTGGGAGGGAAGAGAGGAAGAGGGAGTTGGACAGTTGGGTTACTCTGATGTTACCTCAACCTTTACCCTCAGATGGATCTTGAATCCCAGAGCTAAGGGCACCTCTAATCCTCACTCCAACACTAAAAGCCCATCTTGACCCCAGCTAGTTTTCTAGAAGACAGTTTATAAGAAATTATGACCTAAGACTCCAACATCAAAACTCACCTCTCACCTCTTACCAACCCTATGCCCCAAATGTGTTTGTATCAATCCCCAATCATGGCTCGCCAAACTCAATCTTTAATCTAGTCTTCAAATCCCAGCTTTATCATGATACACAACACAGCTCTCACCCAAAAATAAACACAGAGATTCCCAAAGCTAAATCTGGACTCTGGTCCCATTAATCCTATTCACAAGAACTCCCATTCCAGCCTCTGTCAATCTTAACTGGTTCCATTACAAAATGAATCCCACCCTCAATAGTCACCTTAAACTACTACCTTCTACTAAATGGCCACTACCACACTCTGGCCCCACTCCATCCCCTACCAAACCCCTGCCACCCATCCAGGCTCAGGAGCCCGGATGACAGCCATCCCTGGTCCCAATGAGAAATCAGGGCTCAAGCCAGCAGATGACATACTGAAGGCTTCATGAATGAATGGTGCAGCCTGGATTCAAATCCAAACTTCCCGGCTCCTAATTCTTCCACCCAGACTCCAAGTTCTCAGAACCCAACTCTACCCAACCATAAATCACACTCAAACCCAAAAGGCTGAATATGGCTTTTCTCTAACATCAACTTATGAGACCCCAAACTCTAGCTCTAACCCCCTACCCTGACTCTATTACAGCTCTCTCTGAGTGTCCATCTTGGTGGAATTACAGTTAGCACAGGTTCCCACAGCTGCAAAATTGGCCAATCTAAAATGTAAGATTTGTTTCTGAGTGTCTCACTCTGTAGCCCAGCCTGGACTTAAACTCATAGCAGTACTCCTGTCTTAGCTGCCTGAGCACTGGGACTACAGGCATGGTAGCATTATATGGCAAAAATATTGCTAAAAATAATGCCAAAAATCCAGTTATGGGCTAGGTATAGTGATGCATGCCTTTGATCGCAGCACTCAGGAAGCAGAAGCAGGTGGATCTCTGTGAGATCAAGGCCAGACTGGTCTACACAGCAAGTTCCAGGCTAGCTGAGGCTACAGGGAGACCCTGTCTCAAACAAACCACCACAAATGAACAAAAACTATTTAGTTAGAGCTCAGCAAGATAGTGCAGCAGATAAAGGCACCTGCTGCCAGCCTGTCAACCTGAGTTCAATCCTCATGACCTACCTGGTGGACAGAGAGAACCAACTCCTGCAAGTTGTCATCAGATATCCATACACAAGCCGTAGCACACATGCCAGCACATACATCCACACACAATACATAAATAAATGCAATAAAACATTTAAAAATTTAGTTAGGCCTGAAGTGATTGTGTCTACCCCTAACATTCACAGACTGATTTCCTTGTGACTATTGCCCAACAATATAGCGTAACAACTATCTACATAGCATTTACATTGGGTTAGGTCTAACTAATCTAGAGCTAACTAAAGTATATGGAAAGATTAGTGCAGGTTATTTGGAAATTCTATGGCCATTTTATATAAAGGATCAGCACCCTTAGACTTTGGTACCCACAGGGGTCCTAGAAACCTCCCCCAACTCCAGGATATCAAAGACAATTTTCCTTTTGGTCTAAGTCTGGGTCAGTGCTCCCAAGCTCTGTCATCCTGGCAGTTTCTCCTGCTGTACCCTCAAGGATTCTTTCTGAAGCCCATTAGTCCTAAGGCATTCCTTAAAACTAGTACTTCTACTTTTGATTTGAGGACACTTTGGCTACTTTGAGTAGGCAAAGATTAGGGCAGCTGTGGTGGTACCCACCTATAATTCTAGCACTTAGGAGGTTGAGGCAGGAAGACTGCCATGAATTTGAAGCTAGACTGGGCTACATAGCATGATCCTGTCTCAAACAAGATTAGGAATACAGAATTTACTTTAGAATTATTTTCCTTAAGGTCACCCTCAACCTACCCTGATTTGGACACTCACTGTGGCCTGTAAATTATTTGCAATCCCCTGGCAAGATAAGGAGTCAAGAGATAGAGGCGAAAGAGGCTGGAGAGATAGCTCAGCAGTTCCCAAGGACACTGGTTGCTCTTGCAGAGGACTTGGGTTTGATTCCCAACAACATGGTGGCTCACAACCCTCCATAACTCTAATTCCAGGGGATCCAACACACTCTCTGGCCTCTATGGGCATTGCACGACAAAGGTGCATTTACATACATGCAGGCAAAACATTCACACATTAAGAGAGAGACAGAGAGACAGAGACAGAGGGGGGGGAGAGAGAGAGAGAGAGAGAGAGAGAGAGAGAGAATTGCTCTAAGCAGGAGCCAAGTGTCAGAACCAGACCAGATGTCTACTCTCTGGAAGATTTTCAGAAAGTGGGACCTCAGCCCTGGCCGCAGGTAGAATCCTCTCTGCCTAGCCATCCTTTGTCCTGGCTGTGATACTAGCTCCTGGCTACATCCTTGTTTTACATTACATCCTGTGTTTTCGTAGCCAAGTGATGGAACCTGAAGGCCAGCAGTCTAATGGACACTGGCCAGAACTATTACCATCAAACTTGACATTGAGCACGAAGTCCTTGTAGAGACGACGCCCATTGACAGGCCTCATGGCATCACAGAGGTGGGTGGTGTTGGGACAGAGGGCACGGTGCATGTTGTGTAGCGCATGGGCCATGGCATACACTGCATTGACCACAAACATGATCTTGGACTCCTGTTCAAAGGGCACGGCCTGCAGAGAGTGGGCTGCACAGTCTCGTTGCTGGAAGCTGCAGCGGAACCTTTGCTCCCAGAATTCACGAAACCAAGGATTCCGGCTGTTGTTCCAGGGGTCCAGGCTTTGGAAGTAAGAGGCAAAGTCATTGATGGGGTAGGAGGCCAGCTCAATGGTGATGGCACCCTCAGCAGCCCCTTCACTGCCTGCCACCACGCTCTCCAGGGCTCCCCAACCATCACTGGCCACCCAAGTGAAGCTGGCATTGAGGCGCTGGGTGGCTGCGAGCAGCTCACGGGCATCCTCAGAACGGGTGAAGAGGACAGCCACCCGGGCACTGGGTTTCTGCAGCAGGGCTCGCACCACTCCCTCGAAGGCTGTACGGCTCATGGCTCGGCCCACCTTCTCTGAAGTAGCCACACAGATGTTGCGAGCACGGGCCTCTAGCTCAAAGGCCTCAATGCCTGTCTCTCCATAGTCACCTTCAGATGCCACAGTGGACACATAGGTCCAGTTGAAAAAGCGGAGAATCTCAGCCATGGCCTTGGCTTGGAAGAAATCTGGGGGCACTGTGCGAGCAAAGTAATCGTAACGGGATTTGTCACTCAGCTTAGCACTGGTAGAAGCATAGCTGATCTGTGGGATCTGAAACAGCCGTAGGAGATTGGCCACCTGGGCAAGGTAAAGAAGGCAAAGGTCAGTGATCAAGTCAAACAAGCACTGAAAACAGGTGCATCCTCCACACCTACTGAACTTTGAGACAAGTCAGCTTTGAGCATTGCCTATCTCAAGGTCCTGGGTCTGAACTTGATGAGTCTTCTGCCTGAGGATAGAGGGTTTTTATCCTTCCCCAAGGACTAAGAGGAAGAACACCTGGGCCAAGATCCCAGGGTCATGAGCCATACCTGAACTAGGCACAGGACAGGGGAAGGAAGGCCTGGGGTGAAGAGAGGTTGGCACCTGGCTACACTTGGAGCACAGGGGAGACACTAAATAGCATATGGAATGCTCATAGCTGCCAATCTCTCTCCTTGTTTAGTGCAGACTGCCCTTCTCTGGTGTCAGTCATTACAGGATGTTGGAGAAAGCCTGCCTCAGGGAGAAAGGCCTAGCTCCAAGAACACCATGGCCCTAGAAGTTCAAGGTTTGCTCTCCACTAGATTCCTGAGTCTCAAATAAGTAAAGCTTCCCACTCTACCACTAACTGCCTGGTACCCTAATTTTTATCCTTGGGTCCCTAGGGTCATGGGAATGGGGTTTAGTCAAGGACTTGATAGATGGTAGGTAAATAAAAGCAGGGCATGGCCCAGGACCCACAGGAGAGGACAAAGTTCCTGTAACTGGGAAAGAAGCTCAGATAGTTTAGGGCTCAAATGTCCTCTCTCACACTTTCTCCCCCTGTACCCATCTAATAATGAAAATCTCCCTGAGCCTCAGGTTCTCATCCTTGAATCACATGCTGCTGAATGGATGAAAATGATCATGTGTGAAGGCTACAGTACCTGGCATGTAGAAGTGGATAGGGATATGGGTTAGAGGGGTTGGAATGAAAGGGAATCATTCTATATAAGTATATTCTAGGGACTAAGGTCCAGGCCTTTGCTGAATATGACCCAGAAAGCAGCCTGACACCCTGAAGGATGGGCCCTGCTTCAAGCAGGAGGTGGCCTGGAATGGAAAGAAAGTGACTGGCTTCACAGACACAGGCATGGGGCCCCAAAAGGAACTATGGAAAAGGAAGGGTGCTGGTAAAGCACCCCTAGAGTCCCCTGAGACTGCTAGTAGAAGGCAACCCACCCATCCCTATTCCCGGTGGGCCGCAGATGTAGGTACTGGCTTAGCCACACCTATCCAAACAGCCAACCTCACCACCTCTAGTAGGATTAGCAGGACAGACAATCTAGGTTTCCCCATCTCCATGGTTCCTACTTTGGCTTCATTTTTCTTTAACAAACATCCCTGGTCAAGGGGTCTAAGTACTATTTCAATAACAGCAATGTTGCCTAGCCCTGATCCCAATTCTGCCCTGCCCAATTTCTGCAGCCTACACTAGACACAGATGGGTGAAAAGAGACCCAATTAGGAAGGGGATGGATTCTGGATGGGTCAAAGAAGCCAGGTTAGCCCAGGGTGCAGCCCAAAGAGCTGCAAAAAGAAGGCAGCTGGACCAGGACCTCATTGCTGAAGCCTAGCAGGGTAGGGGCACCTTCTGCTGACCCCTTGTGGAAGAACAGGAGGTGGGACATCCTTTACCTTCTTCCCTCAAATTCTGTAACTGCCAAAGACCTTAGGCTATCCTCCCCATCTATACTCCCCCAACCCCACTTCTCTTCCTCCTGGGTCCCCCATCTTGTATCTTTGGCTGCTCCTGGCTTCTACCTGTCCATCCCACTCTAATCCAGACAATCAGGAAGACCTGGTTGAGAGCCCTTTGTATCTCCTCTTTACCACTTCGATTTATGACCTCCCTCCCTCTGAACATGTTTCCTTATCTATAAAATGGGTTAATGTTGACATCAGCTAATATTGACTATGCCCCTATGACCTACCAGCCTCTCTAATGTATATTTTGCATTCATCACGTCATTAAATTTCTACTACAAACCTAAAAGTAGAATATGTTATCAATCTTATTTTATAAAGAGGAAACAGACATGGGGGGTAAAAAAAGAGGAAGAACCTGCTCACAGTCATGCAATCAGTACATGGGGGAAATAGGATTCAATCCCAAAGGCTGAGTCTAAAGACTGCCTAGTAAGCCCTTTGGGCTGTTTAACATCAGGGTGTGTGTGTGTGTGTGTGTGTGTGTGTGTGTGTGTGTGTATGTGTGTTAGAATGTTTCTCCTTTCCCCCTTAGGGGAGTTTCTCTTACACAATCTCTAGAAACCAACCTTTTATATTACAGAGGAACTTTCTTGGTAGTCTGTAAAAAGCTACTGAAAGGAGGATGCTAGTCCCCTTTCCAGTGCATTCCATCAGAGAAGCCCCTGCTTACTAGGAATTCTGGACCACCCTTTCCAGCCTCCCTTCCCAGTAACCATTTGGGTGGCTTCCACATACCTGGATGGAAACGTCACTGTAGGAACCACCAATGACACCAGTGATGGCAGTGGGAGCATCACCATGGGTGGCATAAGAGCCATCAGGGCAGATGTGGCGTGAGCCATCAGCACCGCGACTGAGCGAGGCACGCACAAAGTCCAATGCCTGCTCCAGGGCATGTGTATCCTTGGAGCAGCTGTCGAGGATGTGTGCACCCAAGCGCACACCAGGCAGCAGGTGGGGGTCACGGTTGATGCGGTCCAGTGCAAAAAGCATGGCCTCCAGGCGCTGGATGCCACGGTGCTCGTTGACAGGCCCACACTCTTCTGTTGGGCCACCCTTCTGGTGCACTGGGAACAGCCCACCCAGCACCAGGTCCCCCTCCAGTGTCAGCACCTTCTTGGCTGGGCCCTCAGCCACAGCACCCCACAGCAGCAGCAGCAGTGCTAGAAGACTAAGCAGCGATCCCATGGCCCCAAAGGAGATGGACAGGTCCAGCAGACCTGGGTCTCCAAGGGATGAGGGTGGAATCAGGAAAGGCAAAGGAGGAGGAAACAGGGGCCAGGAAAGGACAGACAGGAAGAAAGATGAAAGGGGCCCAGCTCCTGCAGAGAGATAGACAAACAGGGAAAAGTGGAATCGGAGAGTGGCTGCCCCCTTTTATTTCTAGCTTCCCCTCTGACTCTGTCCCTCCCCACATCCCTTTCCCAGGTACTCAGGAGCCACGGGGAAAGTGATGTCACTAACTAAGCTGAGAAGCTCCTAAGCCACTCCCATGGGCCTGTCTCTCAGCCTTGCCCTAATCTTGGCTAGAGATGGGCTCTGTGCCCCTACCAAACTCAGCAGAGCAGGTGTGGGGGGAGGGCAGGCAGAGGGCAGGGAACCCTCATCAATGCCAAGCCCTATGTAAACCAAAGGTCCCACACAAATCTCCCAGGATGTCAATACTGTAGTAGCTGAGGCCATGTCAGAGTTACAAACTCCAGGGTTTGTTTCCCATCCTGAGCCTTGTATTTCCAGAGCAGGGGCATTGGAAGACCCACCATAGGGAGAAGGTAAAATCTTTGTGTGCTAGAGAGAATGGAACCCAGGTGAACACTCAAAGTCCTAGCCTCTGGTTCTTAAAGGGCCAGCCCCCAGAGTCTCCTGACTGAGAAAGGAATGGAGACCCTTAGCTCTGAGTGAGACAGCAAGGTGGAAGAGATGGCCCCTGAGAAGGCACCACCACATGGTTAAAGGTTCTAAGTCAGTGGGGAAAGTAGATATGAGTGTGTGTATGTGTGTGTCACAGGTGGATGACAAGTCACCTGGTCAGAATCTCTAAACAGTGCTGAAGGTGAGTTGTGGATACCCTAGCTTTATATAGGAAGCTGGCTGAGACTTTGTGCCTCTGTTTCTCTTCACTCCAAACACAGCAGAGAAAGTCATTTCCAGTCTTCCTATCCTCAACCCCAGGGCCTTGGGCACCCTGACCCTGGCCCTCAGAGTCCCCTCCCTTCCCCTTTCACCCTGCATCCTATTATCTGTATCTAAACACCCATCCTACATTAACTCTACATAGGCTCTTAGGATCATGCAGGCTGGGAGAGGGATTCATCTTTCCTCAGACTAGGAAAGGAAACTAAGGTTTAAGAGGACAGCAACTAATTCATGGACCCCCTGCCCTGGCCACTGAGGCTAGGGCTACTCACTGGACTAGTCTCCTTCTGGTGCCAGGACAGGCGGACCAGATCCTGTGAGACCAGATCCTGTGGAGACCCGAAAGAAGACAGAAGCAGGGATGAAGACCAGCACAGTTGGGGCAGAGACCCAGGGGAGGCCCGGATGGATGCTAAGGCAGGGAAGTGGGCAGAACCCCAGAGCCCAGCAGCCAAGGGGCAGGACCACAAAATCTGATATCGGGGCAGGTAAGCCCGAGAGGCTGAGACAAAGACAGAAGCACAGACTGAAAGAAGGACCAGAGGACGCTGGAGCAGGAGGACCGGGGAGCACGATGCAGGGCATGCGTTCTCTGGGGAAGAAAGGCGGGATGCCCGGGATCGTCTTCCCACTTCCCGGAGCTCCGGGGGAGCGCTGTCTGGATGTCCCTGCTCAGGTGCCCCAGAACTCGAAGACCCACGGGACCCTGGGACGTGGGGTCAGGGCCAAAAACGGTCGGCAGTGGCCGCGGCACCACAGGCTCACCCTACCTGGCGCACCCGGCTCTGGCACAGAGAATCGGGGAGCAGGGCTTCGGCTCCTACTTGCAGGCTGGCTCGCAGGCTCTGCGCTCTCCGCCCGCCCGCCTCGCCGCTTTCAATCGCAGCCCGCCCCGCCCCCGGCCCCGGCCCGCCCCCAGCCCCTCCTCCTCCGTTCCTTCTCACTCCGGGTCTCCCCCCTCCCAATTCCGTCTCCGCCTCCCTTCGGACCCCTCCCGGGTTCCTAGCCCAGCACCTCCGGCTGCGGCCGCTCTTCACAGGGCCCCTGGGCCTGGAGCTGTCCGCAGCGTGGTGCTGAATCCCCGGACGCTCCAGCTCTGCCCTGGAGCAGGTGCCCCTAGGGCCCCTTTTGCCCCTCAGTCAGACTGCATCCCGGAGAACAGCAAGAACAGGGTATGAGGCGCTGGCCTGGGAAGGTCACTGAGTTCGCAGACTGAGCACAGTATTACGGGTTTCTATCTGCTAGAGAGGAAGAGGTGGCCCTAGGGCTGTGCACTAACACTTGGAGACAGGTAAAGGGGTACATGGGAGGTAGGTGGAGAGTCTGTCCCTTTCTTCGCATCCGTTCTGTCCACCCAGTGACTGCAGCTCAGTCTACAAACTAGGCAGGCCCCATGTGAGAGCTAAGGCCTGAGTCACAAGGAGAAAAAGATTAGGAGGAGGGGGAGGTCAGAGGATGGGGCTTTCCCTTCCTTCCAGATGACCTTTAAAGCCTCTGCCCCTCCCCCACTAATCTCTGCTACCATGCACAAAAGGCATTTAAGGCAGAGATATCAGCTCATGGGGGGAGGGCTTCAGGGTAAGAGACTAGGGTCAACCCTCAGGGACCTGCTGGGCCTGCAGTGAGGGTTAGAAGGGAAGGGGGCTGAGTAAAGTCTCCAGGAACTGGCTGCTGCGTAGGAGGGAGAGATCTGGAGCCCAAAAGGAGGGAGGACAGCTCTGAAAAGATGCTCTTGACTCTTCCCTCCCACAACAGAATGGGGAAGGACACTCCTGGGTAGGGGTTGGTGGATAAGCTGTTGTGTCAGGCTACACTGAAGGATTAGGGGGAAGTCTGTGCCATCTGGCCCCAGCATCTACACACCCTAACAAGTGCTAAAGAACACAGCATTCCTTCCCATTCCCCCAGCATTGACCTGTCTTCCACAGGTGTCAGTGGAAGCAAGGTCAGCTCAGATATGTGCTGAAGCCCAGGCCCCATTGGAACCCCTGCCCCATATGTGCCTGTGGCATTATGGGGGAAGAGGATGACAAAGATAGGCCTTTTCCCTGGACACAGAAATCCAATGCCCCACTGCTCTGGAAAGAACACAGCTTTTAAACAAAACATACATTAAACCCAAATAAACACAAGCCCAACCACTAATGGGAGACAAGGTGGCAGTGGGACAAGGGTTCAGAGCTGTCAGACAGAGCTGGGGAGACAGACAATGCTGTCTTCCAGTTCCAGCTCTGCCACCGGCTGCTCTCACCCTCTGGCTGGCTCAGAGCAATACTCCCTGGGGTAGGTGAGTGATGGGCCAGGCTCTTGGAGCAGAGGGGTTGACAGCAGGAAAGTGCTGAGGTGAGAAGCCATACAGAGATCCCAGCCACATTTCCAGCCCACTCACCAACACAGCCTCACAAGACACAGGACTTTATACACAGATGTTGCTATACACAGCAGCACAAGAAGCCCATCACATGGTCTGAAGCAAGCAAGCTGTACTGTCCCACTGCAGCACAAAGATACACAGTGACACTCAGCTATGTAGCTACCACACCTGGCTGGGCATACAAAGGACACACCCAGCTGAACAGACATAGCTGTATACATGGGAAGTCATAAACAAGCTTAGCCATGATACATTAACTATACATGGGGATAACGCCCAAAAGTGCATGTGAACACAGGCATATACATACAACTACACATATGAACATGGCCATACAACCATAGCAGTATGTATAGCCACAAACAGCTGTTTTGACATGCCCACCGCCAACACAGTTATAATCATGGACACACAGCTGTGCCCATGGCTTTATCCATGGATATGCAGTAAAACACATAGCTTTACACATAAACATACAACCATACACACACACCTATGGCAGATCCACACAGGTAACTGTATATGGAGAAAGCCCTCGTATGTTTCCAGCTAGTCTCATGCATCCCTATAAATGCAACCATATAAACACAGAACATGCAGCAACACAAGCATATAGCCACACAGCTGCCTACACATATATGGCCATGTGCAACCACAGTCACATCTTGAAGCTCACAGTCACTGCCCTACCTGTGCACACACCCAGGAACAAAGGCACTAGGCAGGCCCAGCAGGGATGTCTTCACCTGCTGGGGAGATCTCAGCATGAGCCCAGGCACACTGGAGCCACAGGCACAAAGCAAAGAGGCTGCTGGGACTCCCCCCTCCCCAGCCCTTGGAGGATACTCCTTGCTCTGCTCCTCAGCAGCCTGGAGAGTCCCTGGGGCTGCTGCGATGCGGAGGTGACTGTTCATTGGGGTGATAGAGCAGGGAGTGAAGGACCGCCAATACCCTTCTCCCCAGGGTATACTTGGTCATGTTCCTTCCTCACTTTGTATTTGGGCAGGCTCCTGCTATTCCCAGTCTACTTGCACAGGGCTCCCCAAGATAGAACAAATGCACAGCTCAAATCCAGGTGAAACAAGAAAGTAATTCACTTTATTCTGAGTTCTGGAAGCTCCAATATGAGTTTGAAAAAAGTTGGCAGCCTAGAAGGCTGGTGCAGATAACAGTCTCTAGCTCCTTTGGCCCTGGGAGCCAAAAGGGCAGTGAGAAGGTTTAGCTAGAGGCTTGGGGTAGAAGTCAGACCCCTGGTATTCCCAGCCCAGGCTGGGGAGGTGAAGGAAAATGAGAGCTGGAGAGTTTGCTCAGTTCCTTAACAAATGCACCATGAAAGGGTGAAGGCTATGATTACTCCTCACCCCTCTCAGGGGTGCTAGGCTCCCGAGCAGCCCCCAGAAGCTTGGCTTCAGGGCCCAGTTGTGGTTCCCCCAAGGGCCCCTCGCCCTCCAGGTCCAGCTCCTCAAAGGATGAGCCACTTGCACCCGATTCGCTGTAGCTGTGCTCGCTGCGGTTGTCACCATCATCCCAGCCACGGGTGCTTGCTCCATGAGATAGTGTGATAGTTGAAGCCTCTCGGCTGCCGGGGCTCACCTCCAGGCTTACAGAACTTGTGTCACTTGTTGTGTCAGCTCCTATGGCCAGGACAAGGGAGCACTAGTCAGTCAACTACTATACATTCCCACTGTACCTTCCTCTACGGAGAGGGCAGGGACTCTACAAGCAGCTCAGTAACTGAGCATGCAGCAGTCCACTCATGAATAATACAGCCACCCTGGCTCAGGAGGCCCATTCCAGATGCCCTCTGCCCTTTGCCCTGACCAGGGCTACAATGACAGCACCAAGAGAGTGTGTAGTATGGAAGAGAAAGTCAGAGAGGGTAGCAGCTGGCTGTGTACTTCCCTCCCCACCCTAAATTAGCCTCAGTTCCCTGCACTCCCACAAAGCCACTGGCCTCCACCCCCACATCTATTAAGGGCCACTCAGCCATAGGGTGAGGAGATGAGAGTACAACAAAGAGACCCAAATAGTGTCCCCTCTGCCATTCACTTCAGAATTGGAGAGAGGTTTGTCCTGGGACAGCTACAGAACTTTGCCCAGGAGGCATGAGGACTGAAGAATGGACCAAGAAGTCTACCCTCCAGTCCCTGCCCCCACAAAAGCCTCCTCAAGGAATAGTTGCATCCAGGACATCAGCTAGACACTGACCATACTGTATCCCAAATAAAGAAGGAACTGAGACGTGAGGATGGAGAAATCCTGACAAATATACACCAGCCAAAAGGAAGGAGGATACTATGATGAAGCATTTTAAGGACTTTCTTCCTATATATGTCTGGGTCATCCCAGGGGAACCCTTACCTACCAAGCCCCCCTCCCAACAACTGGTGCTTTCTAATCTACTCCTTCTACCCTTGGTACATCCTCCAAACAAGTGGCCCTTCATATGCCCTGTCCAGGAGCAACCCCTCAGTCCTTCAGGGGCACTGAATGCCAGTGGAGGTGGCACAGAGAACAAAAAGCTTGGACCTACTGTGTGCAGGACTCCAGATTGGGAGAAAGCCCATCTGTTTAGTATGAGTGGAGAGGGGCAGCTGTCAAAGCTGCTAAACATCATGGAAGGTGAGGGTGGGCCTGCTTTCCCAGCTGTCTCCATGGTGATAAGGCCCTGAGCCAGGAGCAGCTGGGGACTGCTTGGCATTTGCAGTGGCCTAGAGCTGTCCTTGAGCCTCAGCCGGGGCCTAGCATGATGAGGATTTGAGGGTCTGCTCCCCTAATTTGTCCCCAGAAGATGCTCTCTTGAGCCCTACTAGCAAAGGTAAGGTAAGCCCTGGAAGTGCAGGACTGCTGGCCCTGGGGATTCCTCTTGCTAGGGTAGAGACATGCCTGCAAAGCAGAGCAGGAACCCAAAATAAGCTTTGAGTTATGGGTATTACCACTGACCCTGGGGCAGGACTCCAGCTCCTCATTCACTCCCTCACACTGATATCAGTGTCCCAGGGGCTATGGGCCTGAAAGGCACAAAGGACAGGACTGTTTCTCCCCAGTCCTATTACTGTCAAGTTCTGTCTGCCTACCCACCTAATGGTTCTCCTAAGACTCTGGGTACAGGGACCAGCCCCACTTCTCAGATAAGGGTAATGAGAGGAAGGAGCCCAGGAGTGCCTCCTTCAACCCAGACTCCGCATACTAGATGAAGACAGCCCTTGGAAACAGATGAACACTCCTTATAAATGAGTTCTAAGGAAGAAGCATGGTATTCCTACAACCCCACAGGAAGAGGTCCCTGTGTCCTGAGCCTGTGTCCCAGGAGAGGATCCTAGGCAAGGCAAAGCAGCCCCTGAATCCCCAGGCTGTTGGGCAGGGGATGTGAAGCCACCACCTTCCTCCTCTGCCCACAGCCAATGCAAAGAGATCAAATATTCATTGCTTCTCTCAGCTAAATAATACATCAATGTAATAACAGGCACAAGGCAACTAATCACCCCCTTTCACCTTCCAGCCCAAGTCAGGGCCTCAGCAGGGAGGCAGGCAGAACAGGCCAAGCCTTGGGCAGCGAGGCACACACTATGCATTGCTATGTAAGTGGCATGCACCTGGAGTGTGGCTGCCCCCAGTGTCATGACAGACTCTGTCAGGAGTAGGCAGATCCCACAGCATGCATGTAGGGAGTGGGCGGGCAGGCTGATGGGGAGAACAGACCAAGGACCTCAGGGGTGTGGGAACTGTGGCTGCAGCCAGCTGTATGTTTTGAGTGCCAAGCAGTCCTTTAACACCTTTGGCAGGCAGTGTTTGGGAGGGAAGTAAACTGGGTGGGTGGACCAGGAAGGCAGGAGGCAGAGGATATTGTAGGGAGATCAAGGTGTTCCTCCTTCCTACCCTGGGGGTTGCCTGGGCTTGCTGACCTTGTTCCATGTCTGGTGCCCACAGTAGGGGCATGAAAAGTATCTGCCAGGCACTACCAGACAGAAGGAAGCAGTACCCCATGGAGGTAATTAAATGGCAGATGAAGTTAACTATGTTGGACATAGGCCCCAAGGGAGAAGAGATTGCCTCCTAGTACCCTCCCCCACCAGCCCCTGCCAACACATGTCTCTCTAGGGTGGCCTTGGCTGTTGAAGACTGAAGAGAGACTCCTGGAGAAGAAGAGAGACAGTTTTTCTCCCCATGGTCCTGTATCACCCCCCAAAATTATGAACTTTCAGAGTCATACAAGGCTCTACCAGAACAGCCAAAGGGTGGGGCCCCTAGGACTGCCCATGTGTTAGAAGCAGGGCCCTTGCCCCTGGGTCACATGAGATCATGGTACAGGGCTAGGAAGAGAGAAGCAGCCCACTTGCCTGGATTGGGGCATTATGGCTACCAGCAGGTAAACAGGCTGGCTCTGGTGGCAGGGGCTCTGGAAGGAGTCCCATACTGGTAGACAAGAGAATACCTTGTCTCCTTTCTTACCTTCCAGACATAGTGCCAGTCTTACTCCCTGATGAGCCCCACCCAAGTGACTCTTCCTGAGCAGACTCAACCCTCTTCCATGAACATCCAGCTGTTTGGAACTTAAGAACTCCTATTGCATCTGAAGGGAATCCAGACAGGGTCTTTTTGTTGCCTGGAAAACATGTGTGAATCCACATCTATGCGGATGTACATGTCTGGGAACAGGCAATTCTGGTTGTGGGTTATGGCCATCCCCTTCCTCCCTTTGCCAAGTAGAGGCTGATACTTATAGTGCCAGCTCCAACAGAGAAACCTCCTCAACTGTGTACCTAGATGTGTGGAAGAGGAAATCTAGATGGGGCCCACTCTATTTCTCCCACCTTTGGTACCTGGGCCATCCATCTGGGTGTCACTGGGTTCCACAAGCCCCCGGCATTTCCGCTCTGTCTCCTTCACCTCGGGCACGTAGAAATCTCCTTGACGTGCCAGGGGGCATATGAAATGGATCTGGTCTTGCTGGTAGATCTCTAGTCGAGGGTGGGCACACAGCTTCCGCTCCTAACCAGAGTGTTGCAAAATGTGGTATAAGCACTATAGAGCCCCGACCCACTTGTCCTGGGGAACTGTCTACTGCCTATTATTCCTTTTGGAGGTGCAAGGCAACTAATTACCCCCTTTCACCTCCCAGCCCAGGTCAGGGCCCCAGCAGGGAGGCAGACAATGACAGGCCAAGTCAGGCAACCACTATGCATTGTTGTATAAATGGCATGTGCCTTCTATCCATTTCTTCAAACCCATACTGAGGGAGGCACAAGAGAAGTTTTCCAAGAGCAGGACCCCATATTCCAGGAGCAGTAGTCTAAAGACTACTTAAGAGTCAACTCTCTAAGTCAGACACTAAAACATCCCAAGAACCTGCTAATTCCATGTGCATGTCTAGGACTAAAAGGCTGGTCTCACAAAGAATAAAGTTTGGCACACCTATACCATATGAGACAAGAACTCCATGAACTATGGCCCCAGACACTCAAGCCAAGGTCTGACTTGTCTGACTTTCCAGCCTAGAACTTGCTGACCCAATTTCCTCTCTACCCTGGACAATGCTGACTGACAGAGTTATCAGGTGAGGTCAGTGCCCTTGATGCTGGGGCCTCCAGCCCCTGTCCATAGACATATTGCCACAGACTCTCACTCCCATGCCCCTGGCTAGGTCTATGTCAACCTCTGAGACTATCAAATATGGCTCCTGTATCTCCTCATACCTGAGCCCAGGGTTTTTTCTAAGGGAAGAAGAGATAAAACCTGAGCTACGCAGGACATGTGGTAGCACTGGACATTACCTAATGAACTAAAGTACCAGCTTTGAGGACCCCAAGCTCTGATAGGTATTCTACTCCCTCTGCCTAGACACAGACCAATATTTCTTACCTCCTGGTGCATCAAAGCAGGCAGACACATGCCATAGCTACCCTGACGCAGGCAAGAACAACTGGAACAGGGGTCAAGCATCTCTTGCTCCAGAATCTGCCCTCCCTTTCCTGTGATGAGATGCAATTACCCACCAAGACAACTGTGAGGCCCCTGCCCTGTCACTGCTCACCCGCTAACCTTCACAACACGGCTATTTATAGCACCCGCCGGCTCTCACCGTGAGCTCTGAAATGAGCCTTCCACTTAACAGTAATGACAGACTTATCGCCTGGTGCAGAGAAGCCACTCCAGGAATCTACTTGTCCGCCTGCCTAGCCAACTCAAGGGTTAAGTAATCTCCTCCAATTTAAGTCTGCTGAGAGGGCTGTAAAAATGAGCCTATGGATGGGAAAGAGGAAGAGAAGAAAGTCTGACAGGAGGATCCAGTTAGGACCCTCAGTGCCATCTGGAAAGTAGATATATCCAGGATGCCACATTGGGGGTAGACGGCCTAACTCAGGAAAGCTATAGCTCAGATTTAAACTCTACAAGTAACCCAGGCAAAGTCTTTATCTTGAGTGTCCATGCACCCAAATATGGATGGCAACATCCTAATGGTGTTGCTTCTAAGTCAGTGAAGGAAAATCATTATTTTCAATAGTTTGAGTCTAATCTTTCAGGCCAGTCTGTTTCTTCTCCTGGGCTCCATCTCATGAGTTTCATGCAACCTCCATAAAAGCCAATGGCTTTGGGGCTTTGTTTTGGTTTGTTTTTTTTGATGGCTACCTATGTTTCTGGACCTGCCTACAGGGCTACTGCAGCACTGGTCTTCAAGAGGAGGCTGATGACAACCTACTGTTAGGGAGCAGGACACTTTATCAGAAAGTAGGAGCTACTAGGCCTTGGGACCCCTCCAATGCCGGCACCTAAGGGCAGGTATCTTCCAAACCTGAACTCCATTCAGCAAACGGGGCCAGTCTGCCAAAGCCATGGAGGCTCCCCCAAGGTCTAGTTTCTTCTCTGGTAGCTAAAGAAAAGGAAAGGGTCCCCAAATACAGTCAAAGCATGGCCTTCACCAACATCATGATGCTATGAGCATTTGAAGGGTCCAAATGGCAGAAGTAGAGTGACCAATGGCCATCTCAAGAGAAACAGACAGCTGGTCTTTGGGGATGCTCCCAGAGACTAAAGCCTGTGTCTACCCAGAGACTCCAGGTGTATGAGGACTACATCCCAGCCCTAATCCTTGTGAAAACTCATGCCACCTCCCTTGCTTCCTTTCTTGAGAAGCTTAGCTGTAATAAGGGAAAGAGGAGGTAGTACTCTTCTAGGCTGGGCATCGGGGTGGGCAGCAACCAGGCAGCCACCCTGTGCCACCTGCTCTGTCAGCCCCCTCATTGGCAGGCAGCTCTGTGGCTGCTCTGCGCATCTGCCTCCTCCGGAGAGCCCAGCTCTGAAGTTGCCTGACTGTGGACAGCCCCGTTACCATGGAAACTACATCCTCCATCCTTGCCATCGCCTTCATCTCAAAGCTATCGGGAGAACAGAGGAAAGGGGGAGACAGAGGATGGAGAGCAAACTGTGGCCGGGCTACAGTTCTCTGCCCATCCCTCCCTCTTCACAGCCTCCTACACAGGGAACACTTGCTGCCCAGGCCTGCCTCAGACCCAAATCCAGCAATGGCCCACTCCCTGCTACCTGGGGGGCCCCTGGCCCTCTCTACTGGAAGAAAGTATGAAGCTAATTAAAATCTCATTGCCTGCTCAACCCCAAATCATTATAACACATGCTGGGTCCTGTCAAAATTCAGACTCGGGCAGGGAGAAGGCAAAGGGGTAAACTAACTTGGCCCACAGGCAAGAAAGGGGCTTATAGCTGTCCCTGTATAACTTTCTGGGAGAATATGCTCTCCTCTGTGCTCTGCCCACCAAGCAGGAATGAGTCTAATGGGAACTAGGGACAGAAAGTGAGGGGGCAGAACCAGCCATATGCCCTGTCCCTGAGTGAGCAGAGAGAATAAGCCTTCTTCCTCCCAGTCAGGTACAACCTCTAGGGAAAGAGAGGGTAGCCATGAGCTGGCTCTTGGGTCCTTACTACACAGCAGGAGCTGCTTGCCCAGGCAGCATGTCGATGAGACAGGAAATATTGGAAAATCATTGGAGGAAGGTAAGGCCAGCTGTCTCTCCCTCAGCTAGCTCCAGGGAGCCCTTGGAGAGCAGACTGTCAATGGCCAAGGACACCAACTCAATGCCACACTAGCCTGGTACTGGGTAAGGGAGCATGAAGTCTCCCCTCATCACTGCAATACCACTTTCACAGCCAAGATAGTTAAAAGCATGTTGAAGCAATGCCAGGATAGTGGACTCTTTCCTGGTCTTGAGGCCACAGACCATAAGACAAGCCCACATCCTAGAGGAGCTCACTCACATATACAGAGACTATCAGGCCCTCCCACGGGGAGAGAGATACAGACCTCCACAGCCTTATCCACCTAACAGAAGAAGTCATCCAGTCCTTCCAAGGTTTTACCAGGAACTGCTAGAAACAGATTTGGAAGTCCTGGTCCCTTAGACATACCCCCAAGTCTTCCCTCCCATCTGGGCCTTCTAGAAGCAGATTAATAAGAGAGGGACTTGGGGGCACCACCCATGATGTATGGAGTTCTAGGAGACTTCAGTCATCAGCATATTGTTCCCCATCACCACTCTACCCTCCACTGACATGGGTTACCTACCCAAGAGTACCAGCAGACAAGGGAAAAAAACAGTTCACCACCTCACACAAGACTGTCATGGTGTCACCTCAGCCATCTTGGGAACTTAACTATTCACCTCAGGCTAAAAGCATCTCCTGGGCAGGAGGCAAGTATCTGCCCATACAACTCAGGGCTCTCATAAGGGGCTAGACTGATGTGATGGACCAAGGTTTCTTCTCAGGACCCACAGGCAGATCTTTCTGAATTCAGGGAGAAGAAGGAAGGATACAATAGAAAGGATCTGAACAATCCTCATTTGTGTTTTGCTCTTAGAACTCTAGCCTGCACTGGCTTCAGCTACAAGTGTGCAAGGGTGTGGAAGACAGAAGCAGTGAGACATAGGCTGAGAGCTGAAAGAAAATCCCACTTCCCAGCTACTCAAGGATTTCCTTAGAGGTAGGTGGTGAATGTCCTAAATGAGAAAGTCATGATGAGGCCAAGGACTGCACCACACATCTCCTACCTAAGCTCTAGGCCCCAAAAAGAGTGAGTGCCACCTGATGCAGCTTTCTTACCTCTTGTTTCATTAGATTTGGGGAATTTTTGTTCCCCTTCTGCTACCCAATCCTACTCATCCCTCTGTACCAAATGGCCAAATCAACCAGCCACACAGTCAGTCAGCAGCTGTTGCATCCCACCCGATGGCAGCCATTTCCTTGCTGGGGGAAGTGATGCATGCTCATTTTTAATTACACACACACACTGATATGCACCCGCCTGCACACAGCAGTTCCAGCAAGTGAGGGCTCAGACCCTGGAGGCCCCTTAGGCAGCCGGTCTGTGTTGTATGTGAAAAGTGCTTGGGGGAGGCACAGCAGGGAGGGCTGCAGTTAGAATGTAGCACATTGTTATTATTCTGCCCAGGAACTTCTGTCAACTTCCCTCTTCCTGGTTTCCCCTCTCATTTCCACCATACCTCCCAACAGCTTCTAGCCCAGAACCTAAACCTGTCTGTAATGGCCCTGGGAGCACCCCAGTGCCAGCAAGGAGAGTCTCCTGAAGGGTTAGTGAACACCCTCTTCCCTTGCCTTCATCTGCTAGTAGGAGCAAAGTCAAAAGCTTTGCAAAGTATAAGCAAAGGGAACAGACTGTCAGGAAAGGGAGAGAAGAGACAGGAGTTAGCATAGAAAACCCTCCACAGATGTCTAAAACCTTAGCCCAGCTACAAGAAATGAGTGGCTTCCCTCTGGGCCTCAGTTTCTCCAACCATGAAATAAAAGGACTAGAATAAATTATTTCAGAAAAGTAAAGAACTAGGGGAAAGAACACCATTTAAAGACAGGGCAATTGTGTATGTGGAAAACCCCAAAAGAATCAATGCTAGGCCAGGAGTGGTGGTGCACGCCTTTAATCCCAGCACTCAAGAGGCAAAGGCAGGCAGATCTCTGTGAGT